CGCCAAAATTTGAAAGAATCACCTTGACGCATTTGTATAACGATGCCAGACCTATTACATACGAAAAATATAAGCATATGGAGCAGTTATTACCTTATATACCTCCTGTGCATCATGAACACTTCAAAACACTGCCACATAAAGAGCATAGATAAATAATATCAATATCTTATGTTAAGTTTAACAATATATAAATATAATTCAAACGTTCAAAATAAAAAATACTACTCCTATTTCATTTCTCGTTATTATTTATAAACAAAATTGGATCGATACAAAATATATTTCAAGTGATATTTAATTTTTCACAATTGAAATTAAATGATTTCTTGCAGTTGACTAATTATGAAAATGGTGCAAGTCCATTTACAGCCCGTAAATATACATTATTTTAAGTTAAATTCGCCTAAAAAAAAAGTAATTTATATAATCAAATTACACATTGATAAATTAGTAGAGACATTGCCAGACTTGACATAATTAATTTATATTTTTGAATCGATAATTAACATAATTGACATAATTAACTTATATTTTTGTATCGATATAATTAACTTATATATTGAATCGACTAGTATGCTAACCTTTAGTTTTCCCGAAACAGCAAACTTTCGAACGTATTCGCCTAATAACGTATTCGTTTTGAAAGGTACAATGCCAACTTTATTAATTTAGTTAACTATCACGGGTAACCTATCTACTGTTTACAGTGAGACAATAATTGTGAGTAATTCAAACTGACGTAAGTTTGTGAAAAAAAACTCGGTCTCGTTTCAAAGAGCGAAGCTTCTGTTTTGCTAGTTGCGAGTTAGTTTCTTTTAAAGATGATTTTACATCGCCTAGCGGGTGGAAAACCGAGGACACATCTTTTTCGAAAATTGTAAAAATTCGAAATCATTTTCGAAGAGAACAAGAAGTGAATATATCAGTTAAAAAGTTAAATTATCGACAATGTTTCATCGTCACACAGTCATGTTCTTCACTATGTATGTAGATACTTAGTTGTTATGGAATTTCGGGTTGGTGAAACAATAAAAATTTCCATTTCGAACTATATAATGAACAAGTTGTGCCACCAGTATAAATATACTTGGCTAAAATGTACAATTGTCGATATATATAATTGCTAGGGTAGGCGGGAGAAGTGGGAAGACAAGAGCAGGCTCGAAATGAATATTCGGTTGCACGATGTTTTGAAAACTGACAACCGCAGTAGCATTGGCCGATTGTATTCGCAACGAATATTCCTCCTGGTCTGTTTGTTTGCAAGGAGTCAGTAAATCATGCAACACGGATTTATTGGTCAATTTCTTGCGGCCATAGTTCGGTAGCCATAGTTTGCCGTTCGACACTTTCTCCTCACATTTTCGCGTCAACGATCCTCGCCAGTCGACCATTTTTCACAAAAGTTTCTCGTAAATTGTTCTCGGGACCCTTGTTCTCCCTCTCGTTTTCTCGTCTCCCAAATGATTCCGTTCGAAAATAATTTACAGTCGTGCAAATATTTATCGTGCCTAATTTTAGGTAATTTTGTATATAAAAAGCAATAGGCTTAGGTCAGAAAAACAATGATGAACAATATAAGTATGCTAAATACGTACATTTAGACCCCTATTTATGTGCATAACCACAATTGCAATAGTTGAATAAGAATTTTATTGCTTTATTGTTTGTATAGCTTTAAGCGTGAATGTCCATGCACACCGAAAATATGGAATAAGAAGAGATATTTTAGACGAAGCTAAACTATCTAAAAAAAAAACAAGCTCGGTGTTTATTTCGTTAAAAATTTGTTTCACATTTTTTTTAATTACTAACCAATGTATCGCTTCGCTATGAAAATTGTCATAAATAACATTATAGATTACATTGATAAAAAAACATGTTTGG